GCCTCTACAGTACAACAACCATATTTGCTATGCTCCACTGGACCAACCTCAGTTCGTTTTTTGTGTATTTTTCACGTTTGAAAACAAGAAACTCGAAACGTGCACAGAAATCAATACCCCAGACTGCATCAAGACGAACACTTGATGTTTTAATCAATTTTGAATGATCATCGGCGTTTGACGGGGCGTGTCTCAAAACCATCATGTTTCGGATGTATGGGGACATCAAGGTGAGGGGATTTGGGGGTAGGGGAGGTGTACATAAACCTCGGAGCTGTAATAATGCGTAATGCATATAATCTATTGCATGGGTAATGGCAATAGCTGGTCCCCAACTTCCTCGTGACGGCTGAGTATAGCACGGAAATACCAGCACACCGTGGAACAATAGCACTGTATAGTTCGGTGCATGTCCGGTGTGTTATTAACTGTGCACAACAGGAATACAGACAGCACGCATTGCCAGCCCACGACCCCAGACCTGACCTGGGACAACACACACGTAACAACTAGATCAACATAACTAACATGTTTGCAGATATAATAGTCTGTCTCTCACTCCCTAGCGTATAATTCAAAAGGGAGCCCAACTCAAGTCTAGAATGATTTGGCTAGTCTAGATTGCGCCAGTTCTAATCGTGAAATTAAGAGTTGTTTTGGCTCCATTTTGATATTTTTTGTAGACATATTAAAATATATATTTGGAGAAACAAATACAGGAACACAGTAAAATGCAAGTGTTCCTACAATATTTTCCAGTTTTCAGCAATAGCTTTGAATTGCGCTGCGGAAGGAAATCTGAGAATACAAAAGGAACACTACCAGGAAGTGTTTTTTCCTTATTTGTTTCCCTCAGAATATTTTTAAATTAGATAACTTTATATGTAGGTTAAACTTTCAGTCTACATGGGTCAGTACTGTCATCATTTTCAGGATGGCGAGGGCAGTGGGGTAACCTAGTGGATAAAGCGTTCCCTCATCATGCCGAAGACCCGGGTTCGATTCCCCACATGGGTTCAATGTGTGAAGCCCATGTAAGACCATAAAACCATACTCACTCACTCCAAGACGATGAAGACGGTCAACATAGGCCGCCAGTCACACAAATCAACAATATACATGTGTGTAGGTGGGAATTATCATGGAATATTTGTCTACTAATATAGCAGTCCATGATTCAGTTTCTTGAAAATACAGATCAAAGTTGTACACCCTTTAGGACATCGTGCTTTTCAAAGGTAAAATAATACATAGATAACTGCACTGTACGTAGCATCCACGCATTGATACAAAATCGGGGCGGTGGGGTGGCCTAGTGGTGAAAGCATCCGCTCGTCACACCGAAGACCCGGGTTCGATTCCCCACATGGGTACAATGTGTGAAGCCCATTTCTGGTGTCCCCTGCCGTGATATTGCTGTAATATTGCTAAAAGCGGCCCAAACCACTGACTCATTGCTACCAAATCACGACTATAACACTCTATTTGCCCAGGCCAATATAGGCCAATGCCACTTTCTTCGTGATTCGTGTGATGATTGGACAGTGGACAGCTGCATTGTGACATGTAGCACCATGATGTCAGTTGTTGACAGATGCAGTCACGGGGTTCAGCTACCATCAGTTAGTGCACTTGGGCATCACGCGTTTACACTGGAAGCTACAGCCTCCGTGGTGTAGTGGTTAGAGCGTCCGCCCAGAGAGCGGAAGGTCGCGGGTTCGATCCCCGATCGCGTCATACCAAAAGCCGTTAAAATATGGTACTTGTTGGTCCCTGCCTGGCGCTCACCATTAATGGGTACAACAAGGACTGGTCGGCTCGGAGTCAGTATAATGTGTCTGAGTGGGGTATTCATGCTTCACTGCGGCATGGTATCTCAGTGGGCTAGCACTATAAAACCAGCTTAAGTCTGGGCTAGTACAAGCAGCCGCACATACACATACACACGCATGCACGTCGTCATATGAGCGAAATATTCTCCAGCGCGACGTTAAACCCAATTTCACCTCACCTCACCTCACCTCACCTTACACTGGAAGCTTCCTTCCCTGTGATCCATTTCTGGTGTCCCCCGCCGTGATATTCCTTCCCTGTGTAGCTAGACTCGAGCATTGTATAGCGTTATCTGCAATATATGCTGCCTAACAAAATTGAGTGAGCGAGTTTAGTTTTACGCCGCTTTTAGCAATATTCCAGCAATATCACGGCGGAGGATGCCAGAAATTGGCTTCACACACTGTACCCACGTGGGGAACCTACCCCGGGCCTTCGGCGTGACGAGCGGATGCTTTAACCACTAGGCTACCCCACCGACCCGCCTGACATAAGACGAGCTCTGAAAAACATAAACATGAGGAATTTAAGTTCACAATAAACGAAGCCTTATTCACCCAATCCCTCTATCCACCGTGGCGGTGGGGTAGCCTAGTGGTTAAAGCGTTCGCTCGTAACGCCGAAGACCCGGGTTTGAATCCCCACATGAGTACAATCTGTGAAACCCGTTTCTGCTGCCCCCTACTGGAATATTGCTAAAAGCGGCGTAAAACTAAACTCACTCACACCTCTGTCCACCATTGATTGATCTTCTATATCTCTGAGATCTTTGTATACAACTTATCTCTCCTCGGCTTCCATCTACACTGCCTTTCTTCTTATGACGAAGCTCACAGAAACCAATATCATTAATAGGCATTGTATCCATCACACCAACTCATATATGATATATACCTATTTCAATAGACGTTGATTCGGGAACACCTATACCGGCGGTACCGACAATACTACGACGACATCAATATGCAGATCGGTACAATCAACGACAATTGCTGGTATTCACGCCTATTGATTTTAAGCTTCTGCGTCACCTGCATATGATTTATGTGGGTGTGAAACACGTCTTCGCTTGCACAAATCGGTGTTTTCATAATGATTTTCACAGCTTTCAACAAATTGTATATGTTGGGTGTTGGGTGGCATTTAGACAAGAAATTTAGTTGTTTTATTTAAAAGGATACATCAAAATATAATAAAATACCAGAACAGTGCTTAATGTCAGGAGCAGTGGCAATCTGGACTTGCCCAATCATTCTAGACTTGAGTTAGACTCCTTTTTAATTTACTCTCCAGGGTCTGCGAGGCAGACTATTTTGAGCCTGGAAAACAATTTCCCTAAATTACAACATTCTGTGTTGGTAATACGCTAAAGCCAACAGGGGTTATCGCACACTGGAATGGTGTCTCCAATCCCAGTCTATTCTTAGACGTGGATATCCACATCATTTAAAACACAGTTTAATCGGTCTTTATTTCAGATGAAATTGAATTAAAACAAATTGGCTGCGTAATGTCGACTATGATAGATTCAGACAAATTCGAAGACCGTCTTAAACATCAAAGCGTTGCGAGACCAATCTCCTGGCATCCAGATTGATGTGGCACGTGAGGTAAATAACTGAATATACCACGCGATATACGATATTCGGTATAACACTGACATACTGATGTCCGTAAACCAAAATTAAATTAACCTAAGTGCAAACCTGAATATCACCGTCAGATCAATAAAGTATCGGAAAATACTATCGACGCTACAGAAACGAACGCTAACGCGCCACTAACCCTTTTATCAGAACATCAATCAGCTATTTACTTTGGCCGGGGGCTTCTCGAGGAGGACTTTTTGGAATGATTTTGAAAAAAATCTTAAAGGCTGCCTCACAAACTTGAAGGCTGCTAAGTTATACTGCTCTGCATTTTATCCATTCCTCTGTCGTGTTTTATCGATACTTTGGATTATTTTATACCCCAGAAACGTCCATCCATCTAGTTTTAACGGAAATCATTTAAGTTTTATCAGATCATAATTTTCGTCCGTTCATTTGATGTTTGGGGGCGACTGTCAATACTATCAAAGACTTACTGTTGAATTCGATCTCGGTTACAATCGGGATATTTGGGGGTCTCCCTAGTAGAGTCATTCTTTTTCCAAGAATTGCATAGCATCCATGCAGTAAGAATGCGAATCTCTCCATATACCGGTAAAAATTGACTAATGAAATAACGAGTGAGTGAGTATAGTTTTACACCGCTTTTAGCAATATTCCAGCAACATCACGGCGGCTGATACCAGAAATGAGCTTCATATCCATGTGGGGAATCGAACCCGGGTCTCGACTACGACGAGCGAACGCTTTAACCACTAGGCTACCTCACCGCCATCACCATCCTGAAAATGATGACAGTACTGGCTTCTCTGTACACTGACATTTTAACTTAGAAATAAAATAAATAAAAAAACATAAATATACCATTGGATTCTATATTTAATTAGTTTCCTGATACACACACATAAGGAAAGGGCTACCTGCATGGTGAAGTCGATACAGTATATGCTGAGTTGGTGGTTCAGTACCCTGACCACCACATCCACCCACCCCCACTACCCACCCCTCCAGACATATCAAATCGTGGTGGGGAATTTAAAGCTCCGAATGGCTTAATATAGTCCTTTTTAAAACCGCTTCGATAAAACAGTCACGCAATGTGAGTAGAGCTGACAGACGAAGGATCGCGATCAGGGTAAATCTTGGATTCGACCCCTCGGCCCTGTGAATGACCTGGCACGTCTGAAGGATGCAGCTCTGCAAAGCGGATTGCAGCGCATGAGATGACTGGGACACCGAGCCGGTCTTCATTTACGCACGTGAATTAAGTGCACGATATGACCTAATTGTCCTATCGGGAACTACACTAAGAATTAGGTTATGGCTGCGCTTTCACGCGCGACTTTTCTTCACGAATAAAAAGCCATCGATAAAAATGTTCCTAGATTTGCCCTTGAAGGTACGAGTCCTCTGAGCGTGATAATGAGCAAAAACTTAGGATGATAAGCCAATATGTTTTACGCCAATGAGTGCAGTGTATCAGCAATGATAGCCCCCGGCTGAACAAGGAAATGTCACAGGCTCGACCCGGTTACTTCTCCAGCTCTTTCTGTTTCGAATAATTTATGATAGTTAGAGAACTGCTCGACAAAGTAACCCATGATATTACATTATGCACATTTAGCCCGAACGCTCATAAATATTTACGGATTGGTTTCAAAGACCAAACAATCGTTGACATTACGAGTTTGGGCTAATCCCATTTTGCCGATGTCGGTGTGCTAAAAATAGCGATGAACCTATCCACGCGACAGAAGACAGACGACAGTGCACAGCCCCCTAGTAAACAATTGGAAGAGGCGAGAGCGCGGCGGGAGCACCACATGTGTGTTTGAAGGGATCTGTCTTGTTCGATGGACACACGAAAACGATGTCCTTGTTTAGGGTATGATTACAGTACCCTGCAGTAAACGGAGTTTGCTTTTTGCTGGGAGAGCCAGCTCAGTAAACGTGCAAGACGTGTTGACAAAGCCCCGGTACAGCACACCTGTTCGGCTGTAATGGGAGACATCTTCTAAAGCCAGTGTCAGGCCGTATGTTTGTCCACAACAGGGATCAGGGATACAGAGGGAGAAAGACGCCATGATGGACCTTAAGGACCCATTTTACCGCCAGTTATTCTGGATTTTCATATATATCACAAGTAAGTTACGTTGTAGTGGAGCTGTCGCGTTATAACGGGGAGTATTCCTCGTTCGGGCAACTGTGCCTCGTTGAATACTTTCCGGTATACCCAAGTCGGCTTTTGCACAGTGTAGGGCATGTTAATACATTTCAGGACCACCAGTAAGTGGTATTGCATTGAAAATGAGAGGTTAATTGATTTGCCAAATACTAGTACTCAATAATATGTCCACGCAGCATGTTTTCTAGCCTGAGACCTTAAAATGTTTTTGTGCGATAAACTGTATAATAAAAATCCATTTTCATAAGAAATATGTGAACATTTGGCATCAGAATCGGTTTACGTGGTCCCAAAGACAAGTTGGATCTTTGATGTCTGGCAAATACATGAGTGGGTCAATGGACATTGATTTAATTACACGCAATTGCAGCTGAACATCTGTGACGTCAAGGGGTTTAAAACCTGATTGTGAAAGCGAGTGAGTGTCTGTTTTCTGATGTCTATTCCCATTTAGGAGAAATACTTGTCATTGACCCTACACTTCTCCCAGGCGATCCTCATTTATTGATTTTATGCTCGTAAATTCAGGGAAGGTAATCCGTGGTCCCTAACCTCGCTATAACGCTTTCACTTTCGACAGACCTCTCCTATAAAACCCACGCAGGCCAAAACAATTCGATGTTAGAGGATGTCATTTCCCTATGACTAATAATTATGCCTCCATGTTTCTGTGTTAAGAACAATTTATTCCCATATTTTCAATATCAATGTTGACAGAGAAATGTTGATGGGAAGTCAGTCTCTTAAACAAAACGTAGGCATTCGGGATGGCTGTTAAATAGGTTTACAGCCCACGATGTACTTCGTCGATAGGATGAAGCTGTACGTGTCGGCAGTCCCCGACTAATACGATGACTTAATGTGATACTATCCTACTTTTTATAGCATTCATGATAATGAATCAGCACTCTGACACGGCTCTTCGTATAAGAAATTCCAGCCCATTCACGAATGAGTGCTAGAAACTACATATATTCATTTACAAAAACTATTTAGATACAAATGTGAACATGGCTGAAACACTAAACTATATCGGATAAAGTCTATATTCGGTTTTGACACATTTAAGATAATTCATTGAATGGAATTATATATCCATTTCGAATGAATTGGCGAAATGGTTTTAATAATGATAAAAAAATATGTGTTAGTCTATCTCTCCGAGGACAAACCATCACGAATAATATGAATAGCCTGTTTTTGATAAAATGGTTATCTAACATCGGCTTATGTCCTTTAGGAATACAATAACACATTTAGTATTCCACAGTTGCGATTTTTATCAACATTACGATAATTATCTGAAAATGTCGCCTGCAATGTTTACTCTTACCATCCTTCGTGGAGTGTGACGTCACAATTCAAAGGCGTCGTTCCATCGACAATTTCACACAAAGAAACATTTAATGTCTGTGCGTGTTACAGGACGGCAAGTCGATCATTGTCATGATAACACTCCAAATGCAGCCAATTGACATGACCTGAAGACGGTTGCGTAATCGTTACTTATGCAACAGCGTCATTTCTGTCAAGGGACGTGTATGTTTAAACAGAAAAACAACATTACTCCGGACGACTCTATTCCTATTGTAAAGGCCAGAATTATCCGTTTTCTAGATTCACGAGGCATGTGTTGAGAGTAATGTCCCTTTTTTTATACACTTAACGACAAAAATATAATGATGAATTTCCTTAGCAATTTTTGTTGTGAAGACTGAGCATGATATATCTTATAACCTCAAACATCTTTGGTTCACCATATACAAGCCTACCGCAACGTCGCCCGGAGGAGGGGTTTCCAGACAAACGGGGTTAAACTCCATATGTAAGCCAGACACATACTATACACTCGTTGTGCAGCTGTCTGCACATTTTACATACTGTCGAGGGAAACATTATATACCTTTCCTGGTTGAACATTGTATTTAACATGCGTGAGTTGCAATGGCGAACTGTGATGAGATAATCATCTGTTTTGCGTTGGAGCGATGGGTATCTGAGTATGGAAGGGACAGACAACGTATTGTCCGTTATGTGATATGGGTAAACTGCTTATCATTTTTTTAACAACAGCGCATTATTTCAATTGTCTGCCATATATATGTGTAATACAGGCCGATGTTACCTATTGTATATCCAACATCTTGGTAAGCTGACACCCCCTGTGTCCACGCACGGCTCACAGTGTAAACACGGGCTCTTTAAGTGCCAATTACTCGTATCAACCAGCGACTATTAATAGTATGTCGCCATTGGCTATCGAATCCTAACGGTAAATTCTATATTCTGGCGATGAAAATATGTATGTCGGTATTTGTCATAAGGCAATATAATACCCGGGGAAATGATGCGTCTGTCTCTGTGTCTCTGTGTCTGTGTGTACGGTCGGTGTGCCTCTAGGCTTGATACACTCAGATGTTCTAGTTATTTCAATATGAGCCATTGTCATATGGTTTCTAAGAAGCCATGAGACGTGTTTTATTAGTGGGCAGTACATTTGTATCTGGCATTCACAGTCGGTAGTGTGTCCCCAGGCATGTCATTGTGATGACTCTACGTAAGTCAATGTCATTCATCGGCTCGCGTTATTAGGAAAAGAATGATTTATTTATATCTATGTTGACTAGGATATGAGCCTATTATGTGTGATGGTTAGTTACAAGCTTCTTGTTTCCTTTCAAGCGTACTATCATAAAGACCCATGAATGTGATAGATAATCAGCAATCCTTGCGACTGTCACCCAGGGTTGCACATCTCAATAATAAAAATAGATATGAAAACTTTTTTTTTTTAATATATGTCATGGGAACCCTTTTTAATAATAAACATAAAGTGAATGTCGCTGGCTCTTCCGCCTTGCTTCTACGTCTGTACATGTAGCCGTGAAGATCTGGGTTAGAATTGATCTTCATTAACACATGCTTGTAAGAGGCGACTAACGGGATCGGGTGGTCAGACGCGCTGACTCGGTTGACACATGTCATCGTATCCTAATTGCGTAGGTCGATGCTCATGCTGTTGATCACTGGATTGTCTGGTACAGACACGGTTATTTACAGCCATATAGCTGGAATATTGCTGAGTGCGGCGTAAAACTAAACTCACTCACTCTACGTCTGTACAGTGTTATGATTGACGGACAGTCTGATTTTCCTGTCGCCTCTTATACACACTGAAAGTCATTACTTGGAACCCACTGGTCAAGGATTATCTGATGCACCGGAAGTGACGCAAACATATGTTTCTGTGTCAATTGTTCTGATATCTTGTATTTGTGACTTTAATACAACGCTTAAATAAACACGATCAGATTTTGTAATGGACTTCTTACGGTAAACCAGTTTGACAACAATCTCACAGACACCCACTTTTCCTCTTTACTGACGAAGAGTACAGCTTATATATAGTATGTCCTTGAATATTAGTGCTTGCTGCACCTGCGTTTAAGAATCTTTTCAGCCGGTAACTGTGCAATTGCACGAAATAGACTGGGTTTAGAATCCGGGTAAAACTGGGTTCCAGTGTACTTTTTCTGGTCCTAAGTGGTTTCCAAATTGATGGCCAGGCTTGGTGACTTGACGTGGCGTTGCAAACCGACGGCGTTGCTCTTTATATCTCTCACTGGATTGTCTGGGGAATGCTCGATTAGGGGCAGTGGGTTGGCCTAGTGGTTGAAGCGTTCGATTCCGCACATGGGTACAATGTGTGAAGCCCATTTCTGGTGTCCCCCGCCGTGAAATTTATGGAATAATGCTAAAAACGGCATAAACCTAAACTCACTGACTCATTTTGTCAGGCAGCATATATTGCAGGTAACGCCGTGCAGTGTTCGAGTCTAGCTACACGGGGAAGGAAGCTTCCAGTGTATACGTGTGGTGCCCCAGTGCACTGACTGACGGTAGTCTCTCATACAAGATTATTTACAGACCGCCGTCATATTGCTGGAGGGGCGGTGGGGTAGCCTAGTGGTTAAAGCGTTGGCTCTTCACGCCGAAGACCCGGGTTCGAATCCCCACATGGGTACAATGTGTGAAGCCCATTTCTGGTGTCCCCCGCCGTGATATTGCTGGAATATTGCTAAAAGCGGCGTAAAACCAAACTCAGTCAGTCATATTGCTGAGTGCAGTGGCAACAATCTAAACAATACTTAGCTTACATCAGAGGTTTGCGGGATGAGCAGGTAGTACGCAAGTATGGTATATGCTTGAGTTTCTGCTCTAGTTAGATGACGCATTTGCAGACCGTCCCCGCCGTTACAGCGCTGCTCATGACGTGCCTTACACAACTGTCACCCACATTCTCAAGATACGAGGAGGACTGTTAATTAGACCCTTTCTTATGACGTGCACCTTCTTTGTGATTGTTTTATCCATTGGCGTGTGTATTTCTGGCGTTCATATTTGTTTCGCTTATGCATCTACATGATTAATCGAAATCATGACATCAATAGTTTTTTGTCATTCTTCCCCTTCGGAGTTGATGAAATTCCGGAAACGGAAGTGACATCTCACACCTGCATCCTGTGTTGGGAAGTTACTGCGCTATGTGAAAAGTGGTGGTGATTAGCAATCATCAGCTGCACTCCACGGGGACCTTTTTATTCACCGTTCCCTTTATTCTCAGTCTAAAACACTACAAGAAGACCGAGGACTGCATAACCCGCCAGCGTTCGTTCGTTCAGGGCTATTTTCAGTACATTTCGCACTTTTAAGTCAAGTCATACAGATCCTTCAATCTACCGGCTGTGCTTGACTAAAGGGACAACTCTTTAACGAAAAAAGGAAAACATTCGAAAAAGAGTCATTGAAGTTATGATTCGATCAAATCACATGTGCTAAATAACGTGCCTCAAAATGGCTGAAGTTCTTGGGGACTGAGGCTGTTTCCGCTAGAGTCAGATTCAATAACACTTTGCATGCTGAATGCCATTTTGCTCAAATTTCATCTTGGGCTTTTG